AGCATGAAGTCCAGAAAAGGCAGCGAACGAGGCGTACGGATCTGCGAAGAGAAAACGCATGAAGTTAACCCATCGCAACATGGTCATATCATATCCATGGGGTACCGGGTTTTGGAGCATTACTTCACCTGAGCACTGGAGAAACCATTGGTTTGTTTAGACCATGCAGGATGTACAGTTGGTGATGTCTACCGTTGTACGGCCCTAAATTCACTAGCCCCCAGACTCATTTTTCCGTTGTACTCGAGTAAACTAACCAACCTCTGGCAGCCCCGTCACATCCCGATGCACTGGAGGTGCCCTGCCGATGATCGATGCAGCCAACGCGAATGGAAATGCCAAAGGTTGCGTGCACTGGTGTACGTTTTTGACAGATTTTTTGTTTAATCACTGCTGTCAAGCCAAACAAAAAGGTGTCCACAGAGATGTGGGGCATAGAATTGTTTTTTTGTTTGGTTTCTCCTTTCATTTTCTGCCCTCACAACAACAGAATCCAATCTTTCATGAAGAGGTGGCTTCCTTTGTAAGCACCTATCAACGATTGCAATCTTGTTTCCTCAACAGGTCAGGTTTTCATTCGAGGCATTCAGTAAGGAAACAAATATTAATAAGTTGTTAAACTGTGGGATTCTTGGGCACCCCAATTTTGGACAAACCCGAGTATGCCTCAAGCCTGCGAAATTTGGTCTGGGGCAGCTGCGCGTTCTTTTTGCTATAAGGATCTATAAGGAATACAATGCATCAAACGTGTCTTTTGCGAACCCAATGCTTTCAACTACGTCTAAGATTTTCAAGCCACCCCTTTGAAATCAGTTTGATGCTACGGCAGAAAAAAAATGTAAAATCCATAGCCCAAAACCCCGCAATTTCATTTGTTGAAGCAGTTTATGTCATGTTCAAAAGAGCGGTTTTCGCTGTTTTCCGGAGCCGCTCATGGAACCTGGCAACCTCCGGAATGGTTGGGCTCCAAGGGTGCAAAGATACCACCAGGGTTGGATTTGTGGCACGGCATTGGATGACTTTTTTGTTAAGTTCTTGAGAGGAGCAGCGCGCAGTGGCGCGTAGATGTCACAGCCTTTAGTGTAAGCTGATGGAACGAGAACATTTTCCAACCGCAGCAGGTTGGGTCATTTTAGCAGTTTGAAGTTGCAATTCTATTGTGATCGATGTTGGCAATTTCCTAACCATGACCGTTTATGTCTTGTGGCAATCAGTTCCAAGTGATGGATACTTTTTGGGACGGGCTGAAAGTCTCAACGGCTGCTGATAGGCAACCTATAAACAAATATGGCAGTTCCCGCTGTCCATTGCAATTATTCTAGGTAACTTTGCCGGGTAAGTGGACTGACATTTTCACTAGACCTGATCAAAACACTGGATGAGTTTACCACAACGGACGGCCATCCGCTTAGTTTGTAGGGATTGGTTGTCCATCTTCATGAATCCCTCGCAACTTGCCCGTGGCAGCCATGGCACATACGCGGTTGTCGCCCCCTTGCCATGAGGTGTTGAGTTCTTCCGACACAGTGAGGAACTGGCCGTCCAGGGAAGTGGGCCGCAGTGCGTGTGTCTGAAATGGGGCAATTAATGCTTTATGGTTATTTGATAGGGAAATTGTGCATGGCTTTTAACATCTTTTAACTATGGGAGTTTGAGGTGCCCCATTTCAGACAAACAAAAAATGGAACATTTCGAACCAAAACCCACAACTAAAAAAACATGGACAGCCGTCATAGAGGCTGTTCCTCACATCGCGCCGTGCTGGTCACGTCGTTCATATTCGTTCATCCAGTTGCCGATCATGATGTCATGGACCCTGGAGAGACCTTTATCAGAACATAGGAGATGGATCAAACCCCCTTTTACGAAACTTTGGGGGCATGAAGTTCTCCATTGAAACAACACCCCAGATGTGCTGCCATTCCCCATGTTCATCTGCACCGGGAACTGCCCCACATTTTCCCAACTCCACCCAGGAATGCTTCAAATACCCTCTGGTAATTTAACATAGCTATTGAAAATGGCCAGTTATAGTGGATTTTCCCATTAAAATGGTGATTTTCCATAGTTATGTTAGTTTACCAGAGGGTATCACATATCTCCACCCAAGGATGAATGTCATGGATGGTTGCATACCAAACCGGACCATTTTAAGGTTGGTCCAATGGTACCCAAACAACTCGACCCACCTACCCACCCACCTACCCATCTGTTAAGCGTTAGCGCGACATGGTGTGGGCTGCGCCATGAAGAGAGTTCTTGCTGCCCGGGCGCCCAGAACCCCAAGAGGTTGCAGCCTGGTCTCTGTGCACAAAATGACGGGTCAATTTGTTTGAATATTATCAACACCACCCCAAACATGGTGATTGGAGGTTATACCCATGATTAAGTTGAAGGTTGTCACCAATTATTGGAGGTTATCATAATCCACCAAGTTCAAGATATTGATATGGTACCTCCAATAATCGCCAATAACCCATCCAATCCAACAATGGCTATTTAACACATCAAATTTGATAAAATATTCATGCCAAAGACAACAATTCTTATGGTCATCGGTGCCCCTAATCGCCTGACCCTTATGGTAACCCTGGCAAACCGAGGATATCACGAACGAGTTGAGGTTGTCTCCAGTAAGAAAGGTGCCATTCAGTGCAGGGGCGTTCGGATTTTGGGAAGCCAAACTTGGAAATTACCATCAACAAATGAAAAATTTGACATGATTTGACTATGGAGGGGTAGTTTTTGTCTTGTTTTTTTTCAAGTTAAACAATTGAATACTGGACGTGGGGTGTGTTAAACCACCCGTTTTATTTTTATTTTTTTTTCGGAACGGATTTTTTGGAGGTATCAAACCCGTGGATTTTGAGGTACCACTTTTTTGGGACAAACTCCTTTGTTCTAAACATTTAAATTCACATGGGGTGAGACAAGAACCGTGACAAGAACCATGACCTCCAACTAAACTTGCCTCAGGTCCCCAGAGAAGTGCATCTAGAGGAGTTTTTGGGCTGTTCCAGGGCCGTATCCGATCCTTTCCGAGCCTTAGCCGAAGAAAGCAGTGCAGAGGCATTTGTTCTCACAAGGACGACTAACAAACAGGGCGAAATTCGAAGTTTGCAGTGTCTGAAAAGATATGGCCGGGGGGTGGCATGGGTTGAGATTTTTGCCACTGATTCTTGAACATTCCAAATCATTCCTCTTATTTCTGGTAAAAAGTTGTCAGAAACCAATCCAAGGATATCCAAGGTAGATCGGACGAATTGCGGAACTCCTTCGATCGGGTCACCGTCTTTTGGGCCCCCGTGTAGGTAGGGATGGAAGGGTTTTGAATACTATAGACGACTATAGATCTATATAACCTTTGGCAGACAGTAAATACCATAGATTTATATAGATTTATAACGCATTTCAGAATAGGATCAGAAACTTCCGATTTACAGATGCAATCACCACAAGATACCGATGATTGATGCCTGTTCTGATTCCCATGATCTATGGCCTGATAATTTGAAGTACTGAGCCTGGAACCTTGAATTCCAGCTTGTCTCATCCAGCCGAGTTTCTACAAAACATGGGCTGGTGAATTGTGGATTTCAGATTTGACAACCTTCAATGACTTAAATAATTGATCTTCCATAATATTTTGACTCTGAATTGACCTATTGAGTCAGTATGACGATCCATCCACATTGGTGATTCTCATTACCTTCCCAAGTTTTGAATTGATTAGTATTCATCCCTTGAGTATTTGTAGAGATCCACATTTTTTGCGGGTGAAACGCGAGGAGTTCAGTGATTTCACATCTCCTGATGTGAGAGGGTCCGGCGTCCAAGGAGAGCCGCGGGTGGAAAGTGCGACAGACCCCAATCAATCGGGGTAGTGACTGGCTCAATATGGCTCATATCTATCCTTGTATAGGTGGGTTAGTGAATTAGGGTAGTAGATTCTATAAATGGTTACAGATATGAGTTATGAGCATATGATTCATTCACTATGTGTACATATGTGTACTATCAGCAGGTATCATGGTGGAATGGATTGTGTATCCCATCAACTTTGGGGCAAAGTTCCGGATGATTGCGTCCTCCTTTATACACCCAAGAATTGATAACATTGAAGCCATATTTGTGGCCACAATGGCAAACTTGGCAGACCCATTTTAATCTATTTTTTTGAGATTTATTGGAGGTCCATCTTCAATTTACACGCTGTAAATCCACATCTTTCATGGTAACCTTCCCATTTCGGAGTCTGACAAATTGGGTATACACCCGAAATATCCCGAAACGGCAATTTGAGGAGTGAAAATCATGAGCATCCATTCGAATTGGGGGGGGTTCCCCTAGATTTTCAGGCACCGGACCCGATGATCCAGTCGATCATCCAAGGCTCAAAGGCTGGGACGATCAAGAGCTGCCGGGAACGTCAGACGTGTGAGTGGTTCTCCCCCAACTTGGGATTTTCACCGGCCAAAGTGGACGATTTCACCACAAAAATTGGGATTCAACAACTGATTTGAAGGACTGAATCATGGATTAAAAAATGGATTTGGGTCTGTCCACAAATAAGGGATAGGCCTCTAATTCCTGGCATTTCGATGGTGATGGGAAGACGCTGGATTTTGGGTCACCGTTATGAACATCATGGCCTGATATCTTCCTTCTATAGCACTACTAGCCAAGCTGAGATAGTGTTTTTCTCTGGCAATCGTTGGGAATTTTGTTATCGTGTTTTTTGACCAGGAAATTCTCAAGAATTACCAAAGACACATGTTTGTTTCGCGCCGTTCACCCCTGTGTTTCACTGACCGACCCAAATCAGAGCCAGGCTCAAGCTTTTCCTTGCATGGCGGGGTCATATAGACATCACGAAAAGCTGGCCAACATTTAGGATCGCCTCCGAAAATCCCAAAACAACCTCCAGAAATCGCCCAGCTTGAAGTTTGGGACGATGAAACAACACACATGCAACACAGCCGCAGGACGACTGGCTGTGGCCCAGGCCGTGTGCCGTGAGGGTTTCCAGGCCATGGCAACCTTTGCAGTGATTCCAAGTGCAGCGGGACCATCCAGCACGTTTGGCCGTGCCTCTCAGTGACTTGGCTGGGCCATGGGGAAGTCGGAATCCTCCTCCGACCTCAAGCAGCCACTAGAGACTCCCTGAGTCTACGCACCGCAGGCCGCTGGGGCCAGCTGTGCCAGTACCCTTCGTGCAAAGTGCCAAGCATGTCACTGGGAGGCCAGGCTGAGAACTGAAGGAATGCCATGGCTTTCCAGCTGGTTGTTTTCTTATTTGACAGCATGCTACATGGGTCATGGCGGTTTTGTGAAAAGCCACACAGGCAAACCCAGCCTTGGTTTGAAGGAAAATTTGGAGATTTCACCTATATATTTGAGGATAAACCCATGGTTATACAGATTTTTCTTTAAGTCAACCCAGTGACTTCGAGGTCTTGAGGACTGCCCTGCTGGAGCCTTTTTGACGATATTGGTGACTATTTACGCACAGTCCATGTTGAAAAACCATGAAGAAGAATCTTTCAAAGATAACTGGGACAAACACGTCTGAGTTTTTCTAAAATCAGAGGCAAACTAATGTTTTCTATTGCAATTTCCTGGTGTTTGTCCTGGGGGTTCGAATGATTTCCGGACACCCAATTCCAACATGGCTTTCCGGTACGATTGTTTTGTTTCGGTTGCTTGCATCCTCATTTCCTCCGTGATTTCAATACCTCAAAACTGTTCAATCCAATTTTGATGATCCTCAAGCGCTCATATTTTGCAGGGAAACCACCAACCAATGATGTTTGGTGGGTTTTTAGCTCCAAAACTTGGGTTTCGTTGGCCTTGCCAGGGCTATAGCCGCTGTTGCGGCAGGTTTCCTGGGCAGGTGTGGCGACACAGTCCGTGGATTTCACCTGGATTTTGTCATGACTTTTTCGGGGGAATTTCAAGCATCATGCGGCTTTGATGATCAACTATAATGGTTGATAATGGATTATTAATTATAATGGTTATTATCACAGATTATGGAACATTATTATCAATAATAATTATCATTAACATAATAACAATAATAATAGTAATAATAATAATAATAAGAATGGAAAAATTAATGGTCAGTATGGTTAATAATGGTTACTTACTAGTGCTAAACGCAGGGAATTTTCGGGAATGATCCATTTCATCACTAGTAATGTCATCATCCCAGCACCCCCCAGGAAACCATCCAGCAACCCTGCGTAAAACGCACCAGATAGATGATGTTCCTATTGGAAGCTACCAGTATCTGCCATAGACCCGATGACATCCCATGTAGAACTGGCTTAGATATGGGTCTGTCTAAAAGAACTGGAAGAGTCCAAAACTTTGATGCTTTAGACCCTCATTTTCCTCATTCACTGGCCATAACTGGGGTATACACATATCATTTCTGAGCAAAGTGATATGATCATTTTCATAGTTCCTAGAGTATTTCTGATTTCTTTTTGATCTCTGAAGATAAATTCCGGTCATTTCCGGTCCGAAGTGAGGATGGGTATGAAGGAACCACATTCCTGTCGCTATTTTGCAGGCAAAGTACCAGTACGCAACCAGTTGGACCTTGGTCGTTGAGAAAAACATATCCACTCCGAAAGGCTCATAGCAGACCAAAAGGCAGCATTTCCGTAAGTTGTTTTCTGGTTTACCCTCTGGTTATTTAACATAGCCATGGAAAATTGCCCATTTATAGATGATTTTCCCAGCTAGATATCTCCATTTATAAGGGATTTTCCATGGCTATGTTAAATTACCAGATGGTAGATCCCATTGATGTTGGTCGGTTTATTGGAGAAAAAGTGAGCAAATCTGTGGTCCCTTGGGTGTGCCGGCACAGGAGACCCCCACGAAGTTGCAGATGCGCAGAAGGGGTGCCAGTCGGGCAGGGGTTCCGGCCAGGAAAAACAACGGAAAAGGGCAGGGGCATCAGATGCATGTGCAAGTGAGGGTTTCGCCATCAGAAAGAGGAATGGGGATGTCGATATCATTGACATTGCCAAGCACTACATAGACATGGCGAAAGCGTGCACAACAAATACAGAGTATTTTAGAGCACCCAAGGTATACCATGGCATCTCCCAACGTTCTTGACCCAATCCACGAGGAACAGGTTTCGACCCAGGTATCCCATGAGCATGAGCTGGCAAATTGATGGGTACGGCTCGAACAGGCTTACAGTGCTTTGTGTTTTTCGTACAGGAAGTTCCAGAAGGTGATGAGTATCTCACTGATAAACTCCAGACTGTACGTAATACATATAATGTATATATATATATATTTATAATTATATATATACACATATATTTTAATTTTGCTGAAACAAGTATTTATCAAACATAATCAAATCCAGACAGAAAGTACCGCAGTATATATTTACGTAGTCATATAGTGCAAAACATAATGCGGCACTCTTTGGTCATGGGAGCAGGGTCTCTTGCAGATCACGAACCTATACGTCAGACATTTTGAAATCCAAATTGCCTACATCCTTGACATTTCCTCGAACCGGAAGAGCTCAAATTTGAAATAATACATATATATATATACATATATATATTTATTATATATATTATATATAATATATATATATTATATATATATAATATATATATATATAATGTGGCATTTACACCAACGATCGACCTTCCATTTTTGAGGGGATAGGCCGGGATGGACAGGAACGATCAAAATGGCGATGCAGTGGAACGACGTTTTTGCGTCATTTTTGACATATATTAACCGTCGCATGGATGTGTGCCTTTGCTTGTAGACATCATCTACCCTCTGGTTATTTAACATAGCCTTGGTATAGATGGCCCTAATCGAAATAGATGGTTTACCGTTCTTAAAAATGGGTGGATTTTCCGATATGTAACAAATAACCAGAGGGTACATCTTTTTCCATACAATGGACTCATTGGACCATGGTGGAACTTCCCTTTCTTGGGGGTCATGCTAGTCGTCATGCTGGACCCAGGCCAAAAGCCCGAGCGAACCTGGGGGTGTATGGGCACCCAGCCCACCTGACCATGGCATGACCAATGAAACTGGAGAGTGATTTTTTTTGATGAAACTGGGAACCACGAATTTCTGGACGCTGTTGATGGACTTTTGGTTTTGAGCTGCTGAAAATTCGTTCATCGAGCTTTGATGATTCATAAATGTTTGATATATCTAGATTGATATATTCATCCAATTTTTGTGTTTTTTTTGATAATCGATGTATCTGGATGAATTTTAACAACACTGCCACGTTGCGACGTTACCGACGATGATGTCAAGCAGGGGAATCTCCCCAAGATGGCCTTGTTTCAGATTAGTGATTAGTGAATTAAAACGATGTTAGCCCGGTAATATAAATAGATAAATATATATATATATACATGTATATGTGTAAAAAAAAAATATATTTATATGTATATACATACATACATAACATGACATGACATGACATGACAGAACATAACATCACATCACATCACATCACATCACATCACCATACATACATACATACATACATACATACATACATACATACATACATACATACATACATACATACATCATACATACATACATACATACATACATACATACATACATACATACATACATACATACATACATACATACATACATACATACATACATACATACATACACACATACACACATACACACATACACACACACACGCACACACGCACACACGCACACACGCACACACGCACACACGCACACACGCACACACGCACACACGCACACACGCACACACATACACACATGCATGCATGCATGCATGCATGCATACACAAATACACACATACACACATACATACATATATAGATATATATATATACATACATACATGCATGCATACATACATACATACATTACATACATTACATACATTACATACATTACATACATTACATACATTACATACATTACATACATTACATACATTACATACATTACATACATTACATACATTACATACATTACATACATTACTTACATTACATACATTACATACATTACATACATTACATACATTACATACATTACATACATTACATACATTACATACATTACATACATTACATACTTACATACATACATTACATACATTACATACATTACATACATTACATACATTACATACATTACATACATTACATACATTACATACATTACATACATTACATACATGCATTACATACATACATTACATACATTACATACACTACATACATTACATACATTACATACATTACATACATTACATACATTACATACATTACATACATTGCATACATTGCATACATTGCATACATTGCATACATTGCATACATTGCATACATTGCAAACATTGCATACATTGCATACATTGCATACATTGCATACATTGCATACATTGCATACATTGCATACATTGCATACATTGCATACATTGCATACATTGCATACATTGCATACATTGCATACATTGCATACATTCCATACATTGCATACATTGCATACATTGCATACATTGCATACATTGCATACATTGCATACATTACATACAATACATACATTACATGCATTACATGCATTACATGCATTACATGCATTACATACATTACATACATTACATACATTACATACATTACATACATTACATACATACATTACATACATACATGCATACATGCATACATGCATTACATGCATTACATGCATTACATGCATTACATGCATTACATCCAATACATCCAATACATCCAATACATACAATACATACAATACATACAATACATACAATACATACAATACATACAATACATACAGTACATACAATACATACAATACATACAGTACATACAATACATACAATACATACAATACATACAATACATACAATACATACAATACATACAATACATCCAATACATACAATACATACAATACATACAATACATACAATACATACAATACATACAATACATACAATACATACAATACATACAATACATACAATGCATACAATACATACAATACATACAATACATACAATACATACAATACATACAATACATACAATACATACAATACATACAATACATACAACACATACAATACATACAATACATACAATACATACAATACATACAATACATACAATACATACAATACATACAATACATACAATACATGCATACAGACAGACAGACAGACAGACATACAGACATACACACATACACACATACACACACAGACACACAGACACACATACACACACATACACACATACACACATACATACATACATACATACATACATATATACATACACAAATACATATATATATACATACACATATGTACGTATATTGCATTATGTTTCTTGGTATATAAGAGCACAAACAAGTAACAAACAACTACGACAAATGGCATGGATTGGTCCGATCTGATGCCAGAAATGCTTGGCAAAACTTGGGTTTACAGACACTTTATTATCCATTTTCACTACGAAGACAATGCAATCAAGATGCTTTGTTTGGGTATTTTTCATGGTAACGTGCCCACATTACATGAACTCAGAACTCCTCTTGAAAAACTTTCGCGTCACTTCTGTGATAGATTCTTTCGCTTCACTGTGCCATCGAGAGTGATGTGCGTTTGTTACTCACACTCATGGGGAAATGTAGCCTCACACTATCAGACTCTTCAAGGACCAAGTCCAGAAACGATTACTCGGTGACGAACACATAAAACTTATTAAAACCTGCAAGAATATGGGGAATACTTCAGGAACAGCGCACTAAACTGCGCGGATCGATTTCGGTCAAATTGCATTTCAGGTTATTCAGGACGTGGAATATGTCTTCGTCAACTCCAAAGAAGATGAGGCAGGGTATGATGGTGGTCCAGGTCATTAAATCCGTGTTATAGACTGGCTCGTACCTCATGTCTACATACGAGCGTACGTACATACACACGTACATGCATGTATATTATACATGTGTATATTGTACATGTGTGTGTATATATATACATGTACATGTAAATATACATATGTATAGCTATGCAAATATTATATGCGTGTAAATGTGAATATATTTTTCCCCAACAGCGTAAGCTAATGGGGTCTTCAGCCCAGAATAGCTCCGGTATGCACTGGTGCAGGCGCAGGTCAGGTTCAACCAGGTTCCGGAGAAGGTTCCGAAGGTTCCGGAGAAGGTCTGGGGCTTTGGTGCAGAGCCAGGTCAGGCCCAACACGGTTCCGGAGAACGTTCCGGAGAAGGTCTGGGAGGCTTTGTGCAGTGCCAGGTCAGGTTCAATAGGATTTGCGGCCATTTAATTCACGGAAACCAGCTGTGGCTTCGTAGCACGCTTCAGAAAGATTTGTAAATATAACACGTTGCGGCTGTTGGGGATACCACGGAAGCTTATTTTTTTTATTACATATGTATATATATATATACATTATTATATATATATGCTATATATATATGTTATATATATGATATAAATATATATATTTATGTTATATATATATGTTATATATATACGTTACATATATGTTATATAAATACATATATATGTTATATGTATGTTGTATATACATGTTATATATATATACACGTTATATATACATGTTATCTATATATGCTATGTATATATACATATGTTATATATAGATGTTAAATATATGATATATATATATATATATATATATTTGTTATATATATATGTTTATGTTATATATATATGTTATATATTTATGTTATATATATGCTCTATATATATGTTCTGTTTATGTTATATTTATGTTATATATATATGATATATATGTTATATTTATGTATATTTATATTATATATATGTGGTATATATATATATTATTGTATATATGTATATCCGTGTGTAAATATATCTACATGTGAATATGTATATATATATGTATATATATATTTGTATATATATATAAATATGTATATATATAAATATGTATATACATATATGTATATATGTATATATATGTATATGTATATATATATATATGTATATATGTATATATATACATGTATATGTATATATGTATAAATATACACGTATATTTTTGTATATATTTATATATATTTGTATATATATATATATATATTTGTATGTATATATATATATGTATATATATATATATTTGTATATACATCTATATTTGTATATATATATATAAATATGTGTATATTTATATATATATATGTATGCATGTAAATATCTATGTATATATAGAAAGATATATATATATATGTATATTTGTTTGTATGTATATATTTATGTATATATTTATGTATATATTTATGTATATATTTATGTATATATTTATGCATATATATATATTTGCATATATATATATATATGTATGTATGTATATGTATGTATATGTATGTATATGTATGTATATGTATGTATATGTATGTATATGTATGTATAGGTATGTATATGCATGTATGTGTATGTATATGTGTATATGTGTGTATATGTATATATACATATATCTATGTATGTTATGTATATACATATATGTAAAAATGCATGCAAATATGTATGTATGTATATATATATATATTCATATACTTATATGTATATATTTATTTTTGCATTTTGGTGAGTATGTGTATATGTAGATATGTATGCGTGTATATATGTCGATCTGTGGATATGTAGACTTGTATATATATATATTTGTATGTATGCATGTGTATATACAGATGTAAATGTATGTGTACATTTGTGGATGTGCAAATATTTAAGTATATGTGTGTGTATATATATATTCTTTTGTAAACATGTAGACATATGTAAATTATGTGTTTGCATATATGTAAAAATGTGCGTATAAACATATGCATGTAAATATGTGTATATGTACTATTTTGACGGGCTCCGCACAGTATGCTTCAGTCTGAACTTAGAGTGTAATGTAATAGAAGGTCGCAAGGAGAGTTCACGCAACCCCGGATGAATAAACACAGAAAAATGCCAAGGACTTCAAAGGGTTTTATTGTCAAACCTGTTGTGCCAATGGCCGGTTGATCAAAACACGCTGCTTTTCAGAACATATATTTGACAGAATGCAGAGGCACGGCGAGATTCTAGACCCAAATCACAAAGTCTGATCAAACTTTTGGGCAACGTTGTGCCATGGTGATTTGCCGATGGCGGGGTGACTTCTGGATTTCGTGGGGCGATTTTTTTTGGTTCGCTGTTGTGCCTTGCGGGTGAGTTCATGTCGGGGTTGCAAAGGGTCCAGCGCTCGTATTTTTGTTTCCAAGAAGGCATCAAGACGGTGGAGGTATTCAGTGCGCATGCATGTCCCAAATATCACCTTCAGACCAGTGGTGTATGATTGTCCATACAGGTTTTGAAACTTGCACGAAAAACACATTGTGCGCAGAAATGTTTTTTCAGGTTTGTTTGCATTTCCTAAGAATATTGTGACGTGGATTTTGAACCAATTCTTGTAAGGCGAAACCTGTCTCCGGACTTGAGGGTCCAGTCTGTGAAGATTGGTCAAACACGTTTGCGGAGTGACATGGCGCACCGGTGGTTGATTGGGCGTGATGTTTTTTTGGTGTGTTCCATGATCACATCCCAAATACATGGCAGGAATGGATTTCTTGATTTCGACCCTGCGGTTGTCCAGGCCGAAGCTATGTCGGAAGATGTGCTGCAACGGGTCAACACAGTATCCAGGTACTGGGCCACGGTGCGGGATGCTTTGCAGAAACGTTGTTTAGAAACGCTATGGTATCTATGGTATAGTGTGGCAAACCCAAAAATCCACCATCCAAATATGGCTAGAATTTGGTTGTATACCCATCCCCCAAACCAATGAGGGGTGAATTACTAGGTATACCATGGTATACCACATGACTTCAGCGTCTAACATGTTTAGAAAGTCTGACATTTTGAAAATCTAGTTCGCCCATCGCCTTTGCTTCGGCTACCAAACAAACACCGGAAACTGGATCTAGATTGGGAATCCTGGGAAGAGCAACGCACACATGGAAGTGAGTCAAAGTGAGATTGGCCAGAAAACATCCACCCAAGGAAACCCTTGACAAATACTAGTATAGCATGGTATAGCTAGGAAATATTAACTCCGGATTATGGTTGATTATTTCGGGCAGCCTCACCCCAAAAATTAGTTATTCTCTTCAGAATGATCCGATGTTGACATTATGAGGAGGGCACCAGTACCTAAATTTCCACTTTGGACTCAGCTTTCCAGGGCTCATCAAGGCCTGTACAAAGTGCCCGAGGCGCATCTGCGGGACAAAGATTCGAAACTGAAGATATCCGGTTGCCACTAAAGCACAACTGGTTTGTTAGTTGTTCTTACCTTTCCATTGTTTCCTGGAAAGGACAAATCCAAAACGAGAGGAGAAAACTTCATGAACATGTCAGATTTTGAGCTGCCGATATTCTGTGCAAGGGGCTATACTGGTGGAATGACTCCGCAATTCTACTCTAGATTCTAGACACAAAATGGGTTAGTTCTTATTTGTGAGCTACAATCATGTGTTCCGACGAAGTTGCGATTCTTGTTTGTAGATATGGTACCATTCGGTTTTAAAAAACAACCACAATTTGTTGATGGATTAGATGACAAGACCGAAACGGCAGCAATCCGATGGATCACGGTTGTGGTTGCGTGGTTCTGACCGAAATCTCAGTGAAGATGAGAATATATATACTGTATATATATATATATGTGTCTGAAAATATAGGGTATCCCTAAATCAACTGGCTTATCATCATTTCCTCATTACAGTGGAATGCTAAAGTCGTGCCTAAAATTTGGAAATCATCGTAAATAGCTGGGGAGCACTTGATTTGAAAAGTCGTGCCTTTTTAGTAAAACGCATAGGAATTGCAATGTTTTGTTGGATTTGGTCTTTGGAATAATTTGAAAGTGACTATACTCCACTTTCAGACACACCTATGTGGTGCATCTTTTCTGAAAGCTGGTGAAAAAATTGGTCACATTCCCAGGGCGTTCCCGACACTGAGCACGGGGTGGGTGCCATTACCGGTGCGCTGACTTCTTTTCCGACAGAGCACGTTTTCCAGGCTCAAGGGTTTCCGCGCAAAATTGTTGATCCCCTGGCATGGATGGTTTAGTACCATTTAGCAGAGCCATTGGTCCCCCAAATTCGTTGACTGTTGTAAAAAGGAAACGAAAAATGGATAAACCTGGCCATATTGCGGTATATTGTGGACACACCTAAGCACAAGAGCTTGGATTGTTTAGGAGCAGAACACCAGCTGGGCGAAATGAGTTCTCCAGGACTAGGCTTTCCACCAAACCGATGTAGTTCTCCTTGGCGCTCATTTTGAAATCCATCGAGATAAAAGTCAATTGATGGGCATTCAATAGACGTCCCTAAATATGGCGGGAAGAACCAAGAGGTTCCAGTAACATTTCCCTGCGTCGCAATCTTCGGATTTCGTCATCAGCATTGTTGTCACCATTGTCATTGTCATTGTCATCATTGTCGTCGTCGTCATCATCATCATCATCACCACCATCATCATCATCATCATCATCATCATCATGATCGTCATGACCGTCATGACCGTCATGATCGTCATGATCGTCATTGTCACCATCAGTTGTACCACCAGTCTTGTTGGTATATACCTTAAACAAATCCTATTTCAAATTTTTTCTCAGCAAACTAAACCGACCTCAAGCCGACTGAAGCTTGAACGGTGCTTAGTAGGGGGCGTGGGGAAGTGGGGAATTGGACTACAACCCCCACTGAAAAAATTATTCAAGATCCCTGAATGTCGCTGAAATAATGTCTGATGAAATCAAGAATCAAGTGATTTCAGCTTCAAGATCAGGACTTTTTTTGACAGGTGGTGGGCAAGACCTTCAGTGACACCGAGCGGGCGCAGTTCCTGTCACAGGTGCCAGGCTTCAGGTGGTTTTTTGGGGAGCCATGGCGAGGCAAGGTGGCAAGGTGAATAGAGAATAAACCAAGCAACATGTGATAGTGGCTGTATAGCTACCCCAAGTCATGGATAGAAAAGTGGGACACTTGGAAAATATTCCTGGAACACATCGTGAACAACCATCCTGGAAACACTTTCCCGCATCTTTTGCGCGCGAATGTACGTGCTCTGCTAAACATACATACATCACATTTTGAGGTATGGGTGTACAAATTCACAGTCACATGCAGACATCATGTTTGTTTAACCAAACCGTGTACATAGCTGGTTCGTAGTTTTTCTGATTTCCAACCTATTGGGGGATAATTGCAATGGACTTGTTATCTTTTGAATGGGTTGAAACCAAGAACCAAATACACCATGAGAGACCAGTTGGGTTCATGTTGTTGTTGTTGTTGTTGTTGTTCTTAAAACTTTTTAAACAAGTCATACAGAATCATACCCAATTGCGACTTGTTATTGGGTTTCCCACACTAGCAAATAAGTATAAATAAGTAACGTTAAGTGTCCCAAAGCAACCTGGCTGATGTCCCTTGCGTGTCCCAAAAAACGCAAACAAAAAACAAAACAAAAACAAAACAGGTTGCAACAAACCAACAAGCAAATCAACAAGCAAATCAACAAGCAAATCAACAAGCCAAAAAGGTACATTTTTTGTTTTTCGATCTGTTATTTTTTCCCCACGTGTTTTTTTTCCCCTTTAGCCTTCCAGGTTGATATTTTTCCTCCCCTTACCCCGTCCTTGCCGGCTCCCAGTTCCATTGTTGCTGAAGCGTATAGAGATCTAGTATGGGTGTAACTTGTATTAATGATGCTTGATGTACACCACATTTGTAGCATATATGGAACCCAAATTTAAAGACCCTTTACTTTGCCCGGAAAACCTGTTGGACAAACCGCGACTTGCCCAACAGCAGGTGGAGGAGGCTGTGCAAGCAAACACGGACAGTCAACTTGCTGCGGAGGTTCTCACAGAGGGCGTACCCACGGCGAGCGAACTAACACAGTGACGAAATTCC